CAGTTCCTTCTTCCTGCCACCAGGCCTGTTTTGGCACTGACGCCTCCGTCAGATTGGAGGCTGCCATTGACCTCAGTGAGTGGTACTGGCTTGTGCTCTGGAACTGGCGCTTCTCTGAAGAGGTGAAGAACCCACTCCTCATTGAGTACACTGAGGAAAAGTTCTCATAAGACTAGTCGAGGCCACTCCTGTCCTCGTGGAGACTCTTCTTTCTCCTCCATTAAGAGTACAGCTATTGTCGGCATCCGGGATGGAGCAGGTCCTTCCAACCACTCCCCCACACCGTGTAGAGGTGTGGGAGACCCAGTATTGTTGACTCTGGTTCCAGCCCTGGGGCGTCCACTGAGTCCAGTACCAGTGAGGGTAATGCCAGCACCGGCTATTTTTCTGCACCAGTAACATATCAGGTGGCAGTGGACCTCCTCTGCCTTTCCATACCTAGCTCTCCCTTGGTCCAGGACTTCACAAGGACTATAGCATCCTCAGTCTTGCTGCTTGGATGGGCTTCTGAACCATCTGGTCTGTTGGCACCGCATCCTGATAATCCCTTGCTGCAGACTGTGGAAGTGAGGCCATTGCCAGGCTCGGCACAAAGGACCTCCTCAGCAGTGGGAGACTCCTCTGCACTGCTGCACTTTGCAGCACTGACTGTGGCAGCTTTCCCTGCCCTCCATCTCAGCACCATTGGCAGCATCTGTAACACTTCTGACTTCAGTACTGACACTGCTCCCAGCACCGGAGATGACTTAGGCATATTCAGTGCTGGCTGTGCCATTTTAACACTGGTCCCTTCCTTGCTGTGGGAAACAGATGAGTCAAACCAGTTGTTCACACCTTCAGGGCTAGCTCCACCTTTATCCCCTGAAACCCAAGATTCCTCGACATCCAGGTCGGATTCCTCCTCCCGCTCTCCATCACCTGACCTGTATCCAGGACTGTTCATGGAGTAGTATCAGTACTGAGATTGGCCCTCTTCCCTCAGTAGGAACAGGGGCCCCTGGCCACCAGTGCCTTACCCTTATGCCCAGTGACCCCCTTGGCACAGTCCTTGATCACGGATGTTGCTGTCCTCATCCAGCTCTAAGATGAGATCACTGGGCATATCGGTGACTGGGGCTGTTGACCCGCCCCAAGCTCAGACATCGGTTGTTCTTCCCCTTGCGGAGCTTCTGGAGCTGTCCCATCCAGGTCCAACTGTTCTGGACTGGGACCTGTTATTGGTGCAGCTAATGGCCTCTTCATTGTCCCTGGACACTTCATCAGTGCCTGGTTCCTCCTTCAGTGTCTGAGGATTTCAAGGCCTACCAGGACCTTTTGTGATGTGTGGCTATTACCCTGGGCATCCAGGCAGAGCTCCTGCAGGAGAACACCCATAAACATCCTGCAGCCTTTTGCCCCAGAGAAAGTGGCTCTCTCCATTAATGATGCGCTACTGGAGCATGCAAATGTTCTTTGGAGAACACCAGCTTTGGTGCCACCTATGGCAGAGCATTTGGAAAAATGCTACTTTGTCCAAATGCAGGGATTTGAGGTGTTTTACTCCCACCCGACCCCCAGTTCCCTGGTTGCAACTTCAGATTTAAGTCTGCTATTAAGGACAAAGACTCTAAATGGATTGACTTAATGGATAGAAAGATCTACACCACCTCTTCCCTGCAAATGTGAATGGCAAACAAGCCAGCACTGTTGTCCAGATACAACTTTGCAAATTGGATGGCTATGTCTAAATTTATGGAACAGCTGCCCGAAGCCTCCAAGGTGGAATTTCAGAGGTTTATTACCGAACATTGCTTGGCTACCAAGACGTCGCTGCAGTCTCTGCTTGTTGTGGCATATACTTCAGGCAGAGTGAAGGCCTCAGTGGTGCCAATGAAGAGGGCATCCTAGCTACAAAATATGGGCATTGCTTCCAACATGCAGCAGGCTATAGAGGACTTGCTCTTCAATGGTTGGGTGCTTTTTTGGACAAACCTGATGAAAATTTGCACTCCTTCAAGGATTTTAGCGCACAGGCTCAACAAATATATCAGATATATGAGGTTCCAAATGGTCACCCTATCGGCTGTCCTCCCCTTGTAGACTCAGAATGACTGGTTTGCTGGTCTAGAATTTTAGGATGCTTATTTTCATGTGGCGATTCTCCCAAGCCACAGAAGAGTCCTCTGCTTCATCATGGTGAACCACCATTTTCAGTACACATCCTTACTTTCAGTGTGTCTTCTGTCCCGTGGGTTTTTACAAAATGACAGCATACCTCAAGAAGAAGGGAATCCATGTCTTCCTATATCTGGACCACTGGTTACTAAGGAGCAGGTCCAAAGAAGAGGTTCTTTCTCATGTATGCTTTATGCTGTGCTTGTTCAACTGTCTGGGTCTCATCCTAAACACTGGGAAGTCAACATTGGTTCCCACTTAGAAAAAATTGAGTTCATGGGGCCCTAATAGTCTCTACAAGTTTGAGTGTTTTTTGCCAACTGACCGTTTTCAGACAATTTGTCGTTTTCGTCTCAGTCTGCAGTCTCAACCTTCCATGACAGTTCGCATGTGCCTGAGGCTTTTGGGATGCATGTCATATGCATGCAGTTTGGTTCGATTTGCCAGGCTGCACCTTTGCCCTCTTAAAGTGTGGCTCAGGAAAGTTTACAGTCGAACTCTTCACCCCCTTGATAGGTTGGTCTCCTCCCTCTGTTGAACCTGGACTCCATACAGTGGTGGACAGCTCTGTGCACACTTTTAGTGTGCGGTAGCTGGGTCCACATGAACAGTTAGTGGCAGCAGGCTAGCGCACTGTTTATTTGCATCTCAGCTTGCCAAGCACGAACCGTTCATCTAGACAAGCCCTAAGATGGTTTTGGCTTCCCTGCTCCAGTGGCCCTTCCAATCACCCCCGTTCTGTTTTCCACCTCAAATTCCCCATGTCTGGGGGGAAGGGATAGCTCAGTGGTTTGAGCATTGGCCTGCCAAACTCAGGGTTGTGAGTTCAATCCTTGAGGGGGCCATTTAGGGAACAGGGGTAAAAATCTGTTTTTGAGCAGGGGGTTGGACTAGATGACCTGCTGAGGTCTCTTCCAACCCTGATATTCTGTGATTATCAGCTTCAGTATAGTGGGTCTCCTTTCAAGGTGAGGAGGGTGCCCATTCTCAATTCTGGTCTGATTTCCTCACCCACCTAGGTCATCCTCCTGCCTGGATCCATGTTTTTGTAGTAGCATAAGGATTTGCCAGGCTCACCTTCTCCTGCCAGGGCCTGGAAAGGATGCATTGCAGCCAGTGAATCCAGGAGTTCCTCTCAGGTAGACCACTCCTCCCCCGACAGCTAGGAACCATGCACTCTTCCTTAGGTAAATCCCATTCTGGCAAGCTTCTGAACAAAACCTGTAGGAACTAGACAGCAGCACTGAGAGGTGATCTCTTTGCATACAGGTCCAATTGCTGCTGCCAGATGCATTCATCTATCTACCCCTCCCACTAGTATCCATTCAACATTTCCACTCCCCACCAACCTCTTCTGGCACTTGCTGTGAGGTGCTCTCACTGCATGCCCAAAAGAAGCCCCACTAACCTCTCCTATCACAAAGTGGTCAAGAGCAGAACATGGGCTCTTTCAAGCAATTTTGATGGGAAAGGGAGTAGGGATTACTCATTAGAGCTGGATATGCCAGCTCCTTTCTTGCCCAGATCAGTCCAAGTAACTTGCCTCTGAGTGGAGGCATCACTCAGCTCAAGATCCTGCACTTTGGATCTCTCCCAGGACACTGTCCAGCAATTGGGAGACTTGTTAAGGCTGAGAGCCCATCTATGAAGGCACAGAAGATGGAATTCTGGGAGCAACTGAAGGTTAAACCCTCTCTGTCTTAGGCTGTTCGTAAATTATACACACTGCTCAAAGAATGAGTCATGGCTCCCAGGCCAGAATTGATTCTGCTGTGATTCAGTCTTTTGAGAAGTTGTTCTTTCTTTAGAAAGTATATACCTCAAAAATCTCTGTGACGGAAACTAGTGGCTGGCTTTAAAGGAGCCATGATTTGATGACAAGGCAATTGTATTCAGTAGTTTGGTGGCATACTGCTCCATGGCCCAAGCTGTGGGCCTTCAGGACTTGGGGGATGAGGCAACTGACACCACTCTACTTTCTTCTCTAATTACCCTTTTGATGTGGCACTTCATTGGTTTTCGTTCCTCCTTAGCAAGAAGGCTCTGGCAGTCAACATCCAAACATAACAATACCTGATTGCCACTTATTTAAAGGGGAGAGATTTTAGGTCCTGTTCTCCAGAACCTTAAGGGCACATATGGCTGGCAGTAGAACATTTTTCTGGAACATTTTCTGCTCTGTAACAGAGCAGGAAAAATTGGATAGGCAATCCTTTGTTTGCCAGGTTAGACCAGGTGCAGTTTGGTGATTCTCTTTGTGACAGACTGATCATGTTGGGGTTAAGGTCTTGAGTTCATAGCACCTCCTTTCCCCAAGATGTTCTTAGGCATTTTGCTTTCTTCTCCTTCATCTTCCATGACTGAAATGACTGTGAAACATGGGACACCACACTAAACTCTGATTTTGTGGCATCACCAAAAGTCTTAAACTATATCATTCTCAGTGGCAGAGAACTGAGCTGAGTTCTAAGCTCTTAACCAAAGTGCTTCTAGGGATATATAATTATCTACTGATCAGAAGTATCACTTTGTGAATGAAAGAACTATAGGCTATTGTGCTCCTGCTCACCCAAGTAAATATTTTATTCTAAAAATACTTTAAAATACATGTAGGTGACTAGATGATGTCTAGGTTTTGTGTATGGTACTGTGAACTTGTGTGGTGAATGATTGGTGAAGGGGAAAATTGGCGATTGGTGTTTTCTAATCACACGATTTTATAGTCTGTTAATTTAGAATCTTTCAGCAATTGTAATAACTATTTTCGAAGTCTTCTTTTGTTCAAGAACCAAGTATTAGATGTGTTTTTAAAATGCACATTGTGACTGACCTGTCTCTCATTACAGCGATACCTGTGGAGTTGGCTGGACTGGCAGGATGGGAATCCGACAAGGCCGACTCTCTAGTCCTAGCTCCTTCCTAGACAAAGATGGGATATTTGTTAATTCGACCAACAGCAAGCTGCTGGAGAGGGCCCATGGCATTCTCATGTTAGTACAAAAGGCATGGATTTTGGCCTCATTCCTAGACTGTGCTGAGCTGCGTGGGTAATAACAATGCTAGTCCAAAAAGTCTGAGTTCCAAGTGCACTTGGATGTTCCAAGGCTTGGATATATTGTATAAATATACTGTAAACATGATTAGTTCAATCTCTTAGTATTCCGGGTTGATAGCACCTCTTCTCTCCACTGTGGTCTCTTCCCATTGGAAGAGCAGGCCTACATTTGTAGTGACAAGAATAGGGAAGGGGTAAGAAGTGCTGAGGTCAAGTGATATGACAGTGGTGCTATATAGTGACACTAGAGGGAAGAGGCTTCCACTAACTGGATCACTGAAACAAGACGTGGAGATGATCTACTTCAATTTGAGAGGCTGGGGTGGCCCTTTCTTAACCCATGTTGTTGATTTATAGTACAACTTCATCATAGGTTTCAGAAGAGGCTGCCAGACTAGCCAGAGGTAAGGTACCCACAATTTTGGGCCCCACACTACAAGAAGGATGTGGAAAAATTGGAAAGAGTCCAGCGGAGGGCAACAAAAATGATTAGGGGGCTGGAACACATGACTTATGAGGAGAGGCTGAGGGAACTGGGATTGTTTAGTCTGCAGAAGAGAAGAATGAGGGGGGATTTGATAGCTGCTTTCAACTACCTGAAAGGGGGTTCCAAAGAGGATGGATCTAGACTGTTCTCAGTGATACCTGATGACAGAACAAGGACTAATGGTCTCAAGTTGCAGTGAGGGAGGTTTAGGTTAGATATTAGGAAACACTATTTCACTAGGAGGGTGGTGAAGCACTGGAATGGGTTACCTAGGGAGGTGGTGGAATCTCCTTCCTTAGAGGTTTTTAAGGTCAGGCTTGACAAAGCCCTGGCTGGGATGATTTAGTTGGGAATTCATCCTGCTTTGAGCAGGGGGTTGGACTAGATGACTTCCTGAGTTCCCTTCCAACCCTAATATTCTATGATTCTATGATACTACCTGTGGTGTGTTAAAGCAGATGGGTGAATCTGTTCCCTACAGATCCCCTCTTGCTGTTCTTCACAACCAACTACCCCATTACTCATGATCTGTAACAATCCAAATTTTTGAATGGATTCACCTTCCCTTTTATCCCATCCTCTCTCTCAGACACACATTGGCTATTATGCAGCTTACAGGAAAACATTGCTATAGGTGGTTTGAAGCGTCTTTTTCGTTTACTCGTGTGTATCCATTCTACTAAATATGGTTTTTCTACTCAATTTGTACAATCTCAAATAGTGTCCATTCTTTCTGACGTGGGTATTTTGGCTGTTGGCACTGATGCCAAAGATATTGGGGCTTCCTAATGGGAAATCTCAGCTTCTGCCATGAGAGGGTTAAAATGGCAACTCAGCAGTAAATACATCCCATTCTGTAACCTTATGCCTGTCTTAATATGGCCCTTTTATTGTTTCCTCAGGAGAAACAAGAACTTCAAAGCCAAACCCAATCTCCCAAAGGTGAGTGAACAAACATGTTTACCTCTCTTGTTCCTGGAGTATATAAGGCAGCACATACACTGTATGCACTGCCATTAAATGTTAACTTGTGTTTAATGTATACTTTGTCAATTTGAGGGGGGGCCGATTCAAAGTGAATTGTTCATCTCTAAAGTGTGGTTTACCAAGTTACTGTTGTAATATGAAAGCTGTGCAAATCAACTCCAGCCTGATCTGTTTGAGGTTATTCTTTATTGTATCGCAATGAAAGTTAGCAGAGTTCTCACAGACAGTGCTGTTCATTTGTCCTGGAAGAGAGCTGTGCAGACACTGGATTCCTTCCTGCTCAGATGCTGCTAGCTATTTTTTTTAACCTTCATTTTGTGAAGTTAAAAGAAAGCCAACAGAGAAAATATCGTCACAAGGGTTGAGGGAGGTCTGCATGTTCGTTTGCTGGGCCCACTTCAATTTACGTCTCTAAACTGAAAGAAATGTCCAGGGATCACTCAAAAATTTTCGTACTTGATATATACAGAGCACTTTTCAGGCCATCTACCTTCATGGTGGAGATTTCCTTTCCTAGGAAAATGTTTACAATTCGTTAATTACAATATTAGAGTGCTGTATTATATTGGTAACATCCATTCTATTTAAAGTGCATTTTAAACATTCCTGCTGTTTCCTTTATTTTCTGGCAGTACTTACTGTGCCTGATGGTATAAGATGAGAAGAGATCCACTGTCTATCATTGGCATAATTATAGCATTTTGTGGTCATTATTGACACTGCTTTGATTAAAGAATGTCTAGTTTGTGCTGTGTGCCTTCCAATAAGAATTACATTTAATTAAAAATGAACAACAAAATGTAAGCATGGAATACTTTTGAGAGTGCATGATTTTTAAATAGAAAAAAGACTTCTCCTTTCATTTTGTTGACTTCTGTTCTAGACAGATTGTGGAATTAAATGGTTTTACTTCATCTCAAGTGGCTAGTAGACCAAATCACAAACCCAGCAAGTATCATTCTGTATAGTGAGCAGTCTCCATTCATAAAATGCATGGTACTCAATAATAATATGGAGAGAGAGCAGACTTTTTCTGATGGCAAGGGCTGAGTTAGAATGTGGTAGGGCAGTATTCTGATGCAGAGATCTTATCAGAAGCAGCAGTGTGAGTGCTGTAACTTGAGGAGGGCAATCCATATTTGTGCATTAAAAGGCAGAGAACAAATAATCAAGTGCTGGTTCTCCTAGAGGAACAAAAGGAAAAATTTGTACTGATGCTGCTCTTTTGCATCACATATTATAACTAAATAAGCATAGGTGGTTAGCAAATTGAGTTAATTGAAGTATCCATTAAATTTTTGGTTTGGGGACAGTATACTTCAAGGGGATGGACTTGAACTACTTTTTTTCATCTCTAACTAAATTAACTCACTCCAACTAAAATCCACTAATTTTTTTTTACTTGTGTATTTCAAGCAAAGAAAAAAGTCATTTGAGGGTTTCTTTCTTTCTCTCTCAATCCGTCAAAGCTCTGACCAAAACCAGGGGAAAACTCATGTCTTCCATCAACAATTTCCTATTCAAATGAATGAAACCAAGGCTTGCTAGTTATGTCCAAGTGCACAACACAAGCTCATTTGCTGTATGCATGTAATACATTTTGCAATGGTCATAATTATACTTTGCGATTAATACCTCCTTAAGATAATTGGTGAAAGTTACAAGTCCTTGCGGTGTGCATGTTTCAGTTTATCTGCAGATGCAAGAGATAGCTGTGTATTGAGGGGTAGACCAAGCACCCAAACTTTACCTAGTTACAGAACCCATTAGCAACTTCCCAGGCACATGGGGCTGCATCTCTATTCTAGTAAGAGAGTCTGGCTACTGCAGAAGGCAGAGCTGTGCTGTCTGAGTTGAGTAAGCTGAGCATTGTAGGTTTAGTAGCCTGTCCCCGTTGCCTGTTGGAAATATAATATGTAATCTCAGCAGACCATCAGATTGTGCAGTACAGTGTACATGCCAATGGAGGATTTCATTTATCAAGCTGGAGCAAAGCAAGTTGGAGCACATAGCCCAAAAAGGCTAGAAAGGTGCTTTAACTACAACACAATTGTTGGAATTTTACGCCTTGAATTAGCTACTAAATTATACTGATTATAATTCTTAATTTTTAATAATGCTTTACTCTCGCTATATGCCATACTGTCCTGCAGCAGCTCAGGAGCATGAGTACCAACCGCAAGGCAGACTGTTATGAGTCAGGGCACAAATGCCAAATTGGTTTTGAGCTTTATACTTAGATTTCACCAACCAATTATTAAGTGTAAACTCCTCAGGCACTGTAACAGCCTTAACATGGAGTAAAACAGGCCCCTTGGGTATCCTGATCTGTCTCTCCACTCAGGTGAGCGTACCTTTGTGATAGATGGACCCTTACACCAAGAATCACAGCAATATTCAGGTTACTCCCAGTTCCAAAAGACCAGTCACTTACCCCAGGTCAATTGCATCTTACATCTCACAAAGACAACGCTTGAAGCCAATCCTATAACAAATTATATACAGATTTATTAAAAAATGAAATGAGTTATTTTCACAGTTAAAGCAGGTAAACCTACACACAAATGAGTCGCAATCTTAAGTTTCAAAAGGTAATAGAATATTCTATAATAAGCTATAATAAGCTTTATATGTCCTTTAGGGCTAACAGGGGTTCTGTTGCTTATGCCTAGAAAACCTTGCCCCCCAAAGTCCAAACAGCATAGAGGTCCAGTTCCTCCTTGTTAGGGGGTTTTAGTCCCTTCTCTCATGTGCCGTGGTCTGCGAACTCAGCTGATGGAGGAATCCATTTGCATGACTCATCTTCATGGGGCGGGAAGGGAGAGCAGAGTACCAAAAGCTTTTGTCCTCTTTAATGTTCCACCATAGTCCATCTGGTGACGATGGGCCTTTCTTGTTGGTCAGACGTAACAACTTCTGTTGGAGACTAGCACTTCACACTAGTTAATGTCTCTCTACTGTCTGGTGATTTACATAGTCACAGAGGCTTACAATACAAATGCTTATGTATAGCCTTACAATATGGGATACAGATGTTTTAAGTCAGATTAATGCATGCAGCAACTCACAAGCATTCAATAAGGTCTAAACACTTTCTGAGAATCCTAATACCTATTTTAATAATACTAACACAGTTGATCAGACTGATTCCAGCTCTGTAGTTCTCAGTGTTCAGTTGAGACATGGGGTCCTTCGCATGAGATGGCACCTGGTCTGCCAGCATCATACCATATATGAACACAAAGCATGCATTAAACCTAAATAGACTCTTCTAAGCTTTTGCTAACTTGGAGCATCAAAGAGTCCTGAAAATTATGCACATACAGGAGCAAATCTACAAAGCAACATGCTCCTATGACTGTCACTCATCAGCCCCCTCCCACAACCCTTTCCTTGTGGTCTACACAAACCTGCCATGTTATGTGCATGTTTCAACTGTAAGCTCTTTGGAGCAGGGACTTTATATATAGTCTGTACAGTGACCAGCCTAGTGGCTACCGTAAAAATTCCCAGTTGTGAATTGTTCCCTTGATATTTGCAGGAGGCATTGCATAGGGTCGGTACCCTAAGGGGAGCCCTATGGAATAGCGGGAGTGGGGATACAGTGGGAGAAATCAGGCCATAGGTAGTCAAAGATCTTTTTGTATAAAAACTCTCTTGGTTTGTTTTGGGTTTTTTGGCAGCACTTGTTGGAGGTGAAATCTCTCAAGCACCTAACTAACCTGACACTGCACGATCGCATTACAAAGTCTCTTCTCCACCTCCATAAGAAGAAGAAACCACCCAGCATCAGTGCACAATTCCAGGTAATTTACAGTGTTTACTCCAAATGTGAAGAAGCGCAAGAGAAAAAAGAGTTGGTCGTGGGTGCACTCAAAACAAACACCTGCATGGGTCCTCAAGGTGCAAAGGATGGTTCTCACAAGCACAGAACTCTCCTCTTTTACGCTATTCAGAACACAAAAACAGCTAAGTATGTGTAGCTTGGCTAAGCAATGATGTTTAGGGGCATAACAGTCTACTGATACTTAAAGGATGTAAATACTGAGAGAGAGAGAGGGATTACTTAGGGTGAGTATAATAAAAAGCAGTGGGATGAAAATAAGAAATGTAAGATTGAGGCAGCCTATCAGGAAAAACTTGCAGACGCTGGGGTTTTAGACTAGCGTAATCTTCCAAGGGAAGTGGTGGAAACCCTATTGCTCAGGGATTATAAACTAGAGTCGACAAAACAATCTGAAAAGTATTGTAGGGAGCAATCTTATGTTGACCGTGGGATGGACTAGTCCCTGGATTTTTCCATCTCTAACGTGATTTTTGAGGGCTCTGTCCTTGCCTTTCCCAGTTCCCTAATTTTTCTTACACACATACACATACGCGGCCTAGTTCCATCTCTGGCCCTATCACCATGCCAATTTCATTTTGTATTGAAAAAAAGGCAAATGATGTCCCTGATTCTATTTTCAAATGCAACATGACAGTTTTGGGGAGAGGAACTTCAAACCCCCAGAATGCAACAGGAGAATACAGTGGTAATTACACATGCACAAATGGGGCACAGGTTTTTATACCTGTCTTATTGCTTAGCACCTAATTCTGAAAACAGGCCCCTTTATGGGGTTTCTCTGGGGAATCCATCAATAGAAGAATTCTAAAAATGGTGGTATTTAAAAGTGTAAATATTTGCATAATGTGTATCTCAAGTTCAGTTTGTGTTAGTGCCAGTTAGAATGTAATTCCTTGGAAGAGCCCAGAAGGGAAAACACTGCTGCTTTAGCTCCAGAAATGCATGTGAATTTTGAGATGGGGTTGAGGCCAGCATTTTTTGTGCTGTCACTATTCTGCACCAGTTAACCTGCCATTTTGGGTAACTGAAGCTAAAAAACTTCTCCAGCCTTGTCACTGTGGATACAGTCTTGGAAACTGCAACTGTCAAGTCTTGAGACGCATGCACAAGTGTGTGGTAGTATTAGAGAGCACATTTCATTTAAAATCAGGCATGTGGTCTAGTTTATAGAAAGCATTTTCTAGTTATCCTGATCATTTCAAAAATGTTTCTCTGGGAATTAGTTAATTTCTGGAAACATGTTATACAAAATATGAATGCAACAAATGCCCTTGTCACTCCCATTCCAGAGAAAGAGGGAATGCTACAAAAAGGGAAGTCTCAGCTGGCTTGCATGCTCACAGCTTCGCTCCCTGGAGTGTTCTTTTGTGCAAGAAGTAGATTTTAAGTATTTACCAGTAAAACACCATTAACCAATAATAAAAAGCGACGTAAGTTGGTCCAAGTGGTTCTACCACAGCAGTGTTCTCCCCATTCGTGCTGTCATTCCCAAACAATGCATCAGCCAATTTTTTGCAATGATAGAGCAGTCATTTTCTAACTGCAGTCACATACATGGTTACCAGGAATCCTTAAAATGCTCCAATGACAGCAAGTTAAATAAACTCCATATTCTGTTTCCATGTGTATTCTGCTGGAAAAGTTAACATCGTAATCACTTGAGTATCTTGTAATTGTTAGTTCTAAGTAAACAAAAACGCACTGCATATTTAATCTCACTGATCCAGTTTGGAATTTAATATTCCCTTGAGAGACTAAATCATTCCACATTTATACTGTGATAGAAATGACAGGCCCATTGTCATTGTAGCATGAAATCCTCTGTAAATAGAATGGAGGAAAGAAGGAGCATAGCATCATTTTCTTTTGATTTTTTATTGTTTACTCTTCTGCCCCACTTTGTTTTCTGTTCAAAGAAGTTGCTGCTCTTACAGTAGGCTGTGATAATGACAGCTGTGACTCAAAACCATTTCAGTGCAGTGCAATAGCATTCTTCCTTTTAGTTTTTTCCTCCTGCCTCTGATTGGATGCATCTGTGCTACTCTATCCTTGACTTTCGGAGGCATATAGCCTAAGGGATTCCAATCAGTTTTAGGTATTTGTGAAATCCATGAGTGATAGAGCAGCTGTAAAGCTGGCTGTTTGGGTAGCAGATACAAAGCAGAATCTGTCACCCAAAATGTGACACAGTAAACATTTGTGTTTCCTCTGTGTGACCCAAGCCCATGCCCTCTTGGGTTTATTGCAGTGTTCTTGATAAAAAGTTTTTTCACAGGCTTGCATCAGGCTATTTTCTTGAACAAATACTTCTGTCTTGTGAAAGTTAAATGAAATTAGAGTTGTAATACCCAGCATTTTTTCAGGGTGAGAACCAGAGGGGAAGAGGGAGGCAGCCAGTATATTGTGCTCATTCTGAGAAAAACAAGCTTTTTGTTTGTTTTTAAGAGTTACTTTACAAGCACGTAATCATGTAGAGCTGCATATAGCTCCAAAGATGGACTGTAAATGCATTTTAGAAATTGTGGGGAAATCTAAGGGTATGTCTACATATCAAAGAAAAACCAGCGGCAGACCCATGTCAGCTGACTCAGGCCCGTGCTCTGGGACCTTTCCACTTCACAGGGTCCTACAGCTTGGGCTCCAGCCCAAGTCTAGAAGCCTACATAGCAGTGAAACAGCTCCTTAGCCCCTGGTTGTCTAGTTGCTGTGTAGACATACCTTTAGTCTTTGAAATAACTGAATGGGTTGGGTCCTTCTCTATCTGGGGTGGGGGGGGAAATGTTATGATGCCTAGTGGCCCTTTCAATATATATTATGCATATAATACAGACAATAAATACACAACAGAATATCTTTTAGAGCATCTGTATTATTAGAATCAAATCATCCCCATAATTAACTGATGTTGGGATGTATCATTACTTAGATCATGCCAATAGTGTGCTAGGCACTTTGCATATACATGTGAGGACAAGGCCACAGTTTCAGTGAGCTTGCAATCTGAATAGCCAATGTGCAGATGAAGGATATGAAAATGGAATTCAACAAAAAGCAAAATGATTGTGTGCCTGTCCTTAGCTTCATGTAAACTTTTTTGGAGAGTGGGGGGATTAACACTTCATTACAGACAGCTGTTAGGAAGTGTAGTGAGTTTAGAGGAGGGATTAGGAATGATATTTTATTAAGAGACACTCTTGTATATAAATAATAATCCAGTTATATATTGTACATATATTAAGTAAATCGTTCAAATAATGCAAAAATAAGAGATAATTTCAGCACAGTTAGTGCTCCAGATTTGTTACAAATTGCAACATAAAAGCAGAGCCAACTTCAATCTGTCAACATGGAATTTCCATGCAAATAGTCACTCTTCTCCACACAACATGAGGAGGTCATACGTTTTCCACAGAAAATGCTGGTCCTGTGAGTGGCGGGAGCAATGAGTTGGAGTTTGTCTGGGACCCTTCCAAATGGCCTGCCAGAGCATTAGTGTGACCAGGCTGTGCCTCTAGGAGAATGAATCTAGAGGGATCTCTAGATGGAATCTGTCTCACTCAACCCAAGCCCAGAGTAGATCTGAAAGCCTCTGCATGATGGGTTAATACTGGTCTTGCATTGGGTAGTTATTTAGAACAATGTTTTTAAAGTCTAGAGAAAGTACAGGATGAAATGGGAATCCAGGAAATCCTAACCACCTAGTATCCACAGCTTTTCGCATCTCAGCTGAGAAAAGAATATGGTAGAAAATCTATCAGGTTCAAAACAGTTCTGACCAGGAGCATTCTATGAAAAGGTCAATGCTCGTAGTCTAAGGAATTCACTATAAATGGAGCTATATGAAAGAATGGGAGGCTAGTCTGGATAAAGGGATATCAGACAAACTGCGAGAATTTATTTGAAAGAAAGCAGCCAACTCTATTTTAAGACCATGCACCAGTGATAACTTACTCTGATTCCAGTACAAGAAAAACCTGTGGGGCAGAGTCAGATGTTTATGGAGATTTTGGAGGAAAGGGGTGTTCATTTTCACTGTAATGTCCTCCAAATAATGGATTTCTGAAAACGAGCAAAGCAGATCAGTGGTTATGCTGTCCCCCACGGCCCTCTGATAATTCTCTTGGGCCTCCCAGTAAAATATATATAATTGCAAAGTGAAATTCAAAGCTCACTTCCCTTTTGTACTGAAAACCTGATGTCTAATTGTATGAGGTGGGACTGGAAACTATCCTATCTCAAAATGCAGTATGTACAGTATAGGTCACATGAGCTGCCATTACTATTCCTGAAGGTAACTATTCATGTAAAAAAAAAAAAAAAAAGAAAGAAAATTTGTGTCTTTATAGCTGCATGTTGGATACAAAGACATTAATGTTCAAGTTTAACATGTTTAGCATATCTAGAGATGTATATGGAGCTGGTGCTGGATTGAATTGAATGACTCTTGAACAAAATGTACTTCCCTTTGGTGTTTTAGTTGACTTCTCTGTCAGAAACAGTTCTTAAGTTGGTAATTTCCTCAGAGTTTCCTCTCATGGGTGAAATGTTTGAAACTTCAGTGTATGTCACATCTGGCTCTTTTCCAGCTTTTAAGTTTTATTTTCTGGTGCAGGCATCCCTCAACAAGTTGATGGAGACTCTTGGTCAAGCAGAGCCTTATTTTGTCAAGTGCATTCGATCTAATGCTGAAAAGGTAAAGATCTATCATTGCCAAATGCTTGGTAACAAAAACACTGTTCTCAGCATTTACATTAACCACCCACCCCACCCTCACTGAAGAGAATAAAATTGGAGGTAAAGGTCAAACTCTGACTTGCTCTCACTATGTTGTTTCCAGATACTGTGGTGTATGATTTCATTGTTTTGACGGTTCATTAACATGAACCCTGGCAGTTGTGGTGCTTAGATACACCGTAGCTAATCATTGCTGCTTCAGATACCACAAACAACAAACACGCTGCCCCCTTCCAATATACAGATGTGTCACAATGTCCCACTGGGGTTTCATTGGAATCCCAAAACTTGATAAGAAAGGTGCTCTCACAGAACAGCTGCTGGACTGCAGCATGAGTGGTTTTATTAGGATGCAGTTTCACCCTTAGTTCTTAAGTGTCTGGGTAAAATCCACAATAACTTGTAAATACTTTGTGGTATAAATTTGATATGCTTGGCTGAAAAGAAGAAAAAGGACCTCCTGGATGAGTCTGAGTGTGGAGACCATTGTTAAACATGTATGGTGGTATTGTTTGTGTGTGTAATATTATTCCTAGTTGATAAACCACAATGACCCTTCTGGTCGTCATATAAATAATAATTTGAGTTGTCTCTTTTGAAGTTCTTACAAGCTCTGGAATTCATGTCTGCCATGCATGACCACTAAGGCTTCCAGCTTTAATTAAAAAAAATCCATATGAAATTTTAATTGAAAAAAGGAAGATACTTTCATAATAAACCTCATTATTCAAATTAACTTAGTTGTACATAACATTTTTCCTTTACATTTTTTAGAAGATGAATTGGTATCATGGACTATAAATTTATAAACAATGCTGGAATGAAGCTGGCTGGCTTGTGGGATAACAGAGTCTATCTCCACTAGATCACCATTTTAAATCCAGCCAGATCAGTAATGCTTGAAAGCCATTTTCTTCCAATGGGTGTTCAGCAATAAACAAGTTAGTGGTCTTGGACCAGTTGCTAGGAGTCCATATCGTACTATTGGCAACATGTGTGTCATACAAAAACATGTCATGTCGTCAATCAACTTCCATGTCTAGGTACTCGTGAGTATCATGAAGTGTTTGTAGTTGGGTGAAGTAACGTTGTTTGACCGTTTTTCCTCTTTCAGCTCCCTCTGAGGTTCAGTGACAGCCTGGTGCTTAGGCAGCTGCGATATACAGGAATGCTGGAGACAGTTCGAATTCGGCAGTCTGGGTACAGCTGCAAATATTCCTTCCAGGTTAGACAAAGTGCTTTTACCTTTTATTCATTTCTGTTAAAACATCATATCCTGGTAGATTGAGGTGGCCCATTTTTTGCACACACCCTTATTTCTAAATGTGGGTGAATTTAGAGTTCATAAAAGTGAGTGAATAATATCACTAGCTGGAGCCAGGCATGGAGTGTGGTCATGTGCTAGGCCAGCTTTGCCAATGCACCTAAGTTCTAACTTGCAAAGCCTCAGCTATTCTAGTTCTGAACCAAAACTGCTAGTCATGCATTTGTTTGCACAGAAATGTGTACCTAATTTTCATGCAGAAGTTCCCAAACCTCACAGCACCGGGGGGGGGGGCTGCCTTGGTTCACACAGACTTGCTTATTCAAGGGAAATATTTCTTTTTACATGATGGTTTTATCAAAAAATGTTCGTTGTGTGTGTGGTTCTTTCATCAGCGGCTACCACCCAGTTTGTTTCCTGTAGTAAGACGAATGGATGGCAGCTATTGTTTGGCATTGAGAATACTGTCATGTCTGTTACAAACGCTGTTTGTAGGAAACCTGAACCCCTTTTTACTTTGGGGGTATTTATCTTCAAGGACTCTAGCAAGTCTGATGTTTGAACCATCAAAATGGTAGCTGTTGTGAAGCTCTGTGTTTTCTGAGATACTCTGCAGGTTCTGGTAAATTCCTCCTGTAATGATCATTTCTCAGGATTCACTGCACATTTTCACAGAATCTCTGAGTGTTCCTCTGCAGGCAGACACTGCAGTATCTCCTATTTGCCTTTCATACAGTCCTGAAAGCCACCAGAACTATAATTTACCCATGGTCATGGTAGATTCTCCAGCTCTGACCATTTTAAATCAAGATTGGATGTTTTTCTAAAAAATCTGCTCTAGGAATTATTGTGGGGAAGTTCCATGGCCTGTATTATACAGGAAGTCAAACTAGATGATCACAATAGTTTCTTCTGGCTTCGGAATCTATGAATCTATAACAATGAAGGAATCCTTGAATTCTGCAGTTCTTGAATATCCGTTACATTTCTGCTAATTTACTAAAACATAACTCATTTGGCCAGCAAATAGTTACGTAACAGTGACATACCACTGCCCTTAGAATTTAACTCTGGTGGCTTCTAATTTTACAGGACTTTGTGGACCATTTCCATGTTCTGCTGTCACGAGGAATCAGCCCATCTAAGCACAACATCCATGATTTCTTCAGGAAAATAAAGCTCAGTCCAGACAATTATCAAGTTGGGAGAACAATGGTAAATACTTACCCACAGCTCAGACTCTGCACTGACAAATAAAGTCTGCCTATATGTGGTAACTTGGTTTTCATACATGTTTGCATTGACATGACTGTTGTCCCACTTTACCAAAAGGAAATGGATTAAGTGAGAAGGGTTTTAATCATGTCATACACAACACAAACTACTAGAGATTGTTGCTTTCTGTGAAGCCAGGATGGTCTGATCATGCTATTTAAAACAAGTTAGCCTCCAATAATCACTCCACGCTTTGTTACATAACTTACTATTCTATACAGTGTTGTTATGGCCGTGTGGGTCCCAGAATATTAGAGACACAAGGTGGGTGGGGTAATATCTTTTATTGGACCAACTTCTGCTGGGGAGAGAGACAAGCTTTTGAGCTTACACAGAGCTCTTCTTCTTGTCTCTCTGACTTACTGTTATGACAGTTATCTCCTCACTCTAGAAAGGGAATTTACTTATCAGCTGCTATATACTGTGATACACATCCAACATTTCACAGCCACATACTGTAGGTAACTGTCCAGAAAACTTTCATAAGTATCCCAAAGTAAAGTCAAATGCTAAACTCTTTATTTGAGAGCATTCCAGATACAGATGTCTGTGGCATTAACTCGTGTCTCCTGTGGCTGGGGAAGCATGACACACATTGTCCTCATTCCTCATGTGCTGCCTGTTAGGTTTTCATGAAGGAGCGGGAGCGCCAGCTTTTGCAGGATTTGCTACACCAGGAAGTGCTCCGGAGGATTACTCTGCTGCAGCGTTGGTTCCGTGCTATACTGGAGAGAAGGCACTTCTTGAACTTGAGGCAGGCAGCAGTGATCATACAGGTAGGCGACAATAATGTTGTTATTTACTATGTATAGCATCATTAGTGTGCCTGGCACTTCGCAGACGCAAAAGACCAGGTTCCTGAGCTGAGGAGCTGCTTATAATGAATAATGACAATGTACCTCTATGGCAGGGAAAGGCAGATTAGAAAAAGAAAGCTTGTGACACTGGAATCCTTAAATCCATTTAAAGCACTGCTGCAAAAATCATCTTCCTGGCTCCTCGCTTTGACCACATCACCCCATCTTTATATGCTTCCTCTGGCTCCACCTTAGAATCATAGGGTTGGAAGGGACCTCAGGAGGTCATCTAGTCCAACCCGCTGCTCAAAGCAGGACCAATCCCCAACTAAATCTTCCCAGCCAGGGCTTTGTCAAGCCTGACCTTAAAAACCTCTAAGGAAGGAGCTTCCGCCACCTCCCTAGGTAACCCATTCCAGTGCTTCACCACCCTCCTAGTGAAAAAGTTTTTCCTAATAGCCAACCTAAACCTCCCCCACTGCAACTTGAGACCATTAGTCCTTGTTCTGTCATCTGGTACCACTGAGAACAGTCTAGATCCATCCTCTTTGGAACCCCCTTTCAGGTAGTTGAAAGCAGCTATCAAATCCCCCCTCATTCTTCTCTTCTGCAGACTAAATAATCCCAGTGCCCTCAGCCTCTCCTCGTAAGTCATGTGCTCCAGCCCCCTAATCATTTTTGTTGCCCTCCGCTGGACTCTCTCCAATTTTTCCACCTTAGTCCAGTACAGCCTATTTGTCTTCACTTTTAAGGCCCTTTATGGCCTATCCCTGCCTCATCTATCATCTCTTACATGCTATGGACATAGACTCCACCAGTGACACCACTCTTGATTGCCCATTTGTGAAACTTTCCAGCATGCACCATCGTGCTTTCTCCCATGCTGCCCCACATGCGTGGAAGTTGCTCCCTGTAAAAACCCTCAAAGCCGAAACATTATCCTCCTTTAAACTTCTTTGTAAAATCCATCTATGCTGTGATGTCTACAAAACTGAGTGGTGGGTAGAGAGCTGGTGCATTGTGACCACTGCTTATGACACTGATTATAATTAAGGCTAAGATTTTATCACGGTTATTTTAGTAAAAGTCACGGACAGGTCATGGGCAATAA